ATTGAAGCGGACCAATTTCTTGTCTCTCTTAATAATATGCATCCAGCTTTAAAATTTACACAGGAAAAGGAAGTTGATTTGTCTCTTCCCTTTCTTGATGTTTTGCTTAACAGATCTTCGTCAGGTTTTGTTTTTTCTCTTTACAGTCACCCGACGTTTACTGGTTTATATACCAGTGGGGATTCTTTTTGTTCGATGAAACGTAAAATTAATTTAGTTAAAACCCTTACCCATAGGCCTCTTATGATCTGTTCTGAAATTAAGTTGGATTATGAACTTAGGTTTATTACTCCTACTCTCTGCAACAATGCCTATCTATTGGGCATTGTTCAAGTAATAATTAAGAATGAAATTGCTGAATTCAATAAAGTTAAAATTGCTTTAGTAAAAAGATGTCCTGTATACTTGCGCCTTCCATGGCTGGGTAATATCAGTGATAGATATGCTAAGCAGGTTTCTGTAGCAGGTCGACATTGTTACTTTGCCATTAACACTCGTGTGGTTTTCTCTGACAAGCCTGTCATTCCGTCAATGCCTAAGGACATTCTCCCTCCACATCATAATAGTTCTTTATTTTATTCTTTTAAATGTAGTTGTGGTTCGGACTACATAGGGAGAACGACTCAAAGGCTGGATGTTAGAATAAAGCAACACATTCCAATGAAAATGCGTAATCTTAAGTAGCCTCCTTCAGACATTCTGACCAATACATTCGGGTCTTCCATCGTAGAACACCTAATAAATAGTCATAATTGTGCTACTTATTTTAGTGTGGACTTATTTACCATTCTTAGCAAATCCCACTTGAAAGTGTTGGAGGCCAGTTTATTATATCGTTGACGCCCTTTCTGTGTAAACAGAAGGACTTCGTACTGGGCCTCTAACTAATTTCCATCTAAGCAATATTTTTTCCAATAAATATAGTCCATTTTTAGTGATAATTCTGTTTAATTTATTAACTTTGATTTAATTCTGGTGAGCGTGTTTCAAAACTGGTTAGCTAATTAATTTTTAATTTTACCTTTTAACTATTATTGTCATGAGTGGTAAAAAAATATATTTTGCTTTTTTATGGCAGTCATATATATATATATATATATATATATATATATATATTATAAATTAATTGATTAAAATATGTTTTTTTTCGCTACACAGTTCTAACCCTGTTTCAAAAATGGAAGCTAAAAGCCACGAATTTAATTTTGCAATTAAATTAGAGACATTAGTTCCATTTCATCCTCAAGCGAATTTTGGAGTAACTTTTAAAATTACTGGGTTTTAAAGACACAGCTAAAATCACGTTTCCATGGTTACAGATAAATCTACTTCAACTGGACAAGGGGTGTTTGGGTTTTCCTTATGTCTGTATCATTGTATTGGATATTAGCTACATTTTGGTAAGGGGTAGGGATTTATTTTTCAATGAAAACTGACATCTGTTGAATGCATGTGGTCTGGATTTTTTTTTAAAATTATTGTTAACGGCAAAAAAATTCTTACGTCATTTTTTTCTATTTGTAAATTTAAAGATTTTTCGAGGGTGTTCAGATTAGAATACTTTTTTTTTATATATATATATATATATATATATATATATATATATATATATATATTTTGGTATATTTCGGCAGTATTCGTATTATCATCACTATCATCATCATTATCATCATCATCACACCTTTACTTCTTAAATCGCTGTTAGGGACCTAAGGTCTGAAGTAACAGACAACCTACTCCGGGATGACCTATTGGCAGTGGCTCTCAGGAGTTGCTGCATTGTCATGCCCGTCCAATCTTTGATGATGCCTTAGCAGATTTGGCTTTGTCCTCCCCACTTGCGTGCGCCTTAAACAGTGTCTTGCATACTTAATTTCTGACAAGAAGAGATTCCTGTCGGGCACATGAGACGTTTGACCTCGCTTCGTCCATAGTTATTGGCTTTGTGCTCCCTGTAAGAGATAAGGAGGAGTTTTCTCAAACTAAATTTCTGACAAAGCTGAATAACTAGCTACATCTTTCACTTGCCTCTTATTTAATCCAGTTAAAAATTATTTAATCTTATTCTTAATCCATCTGTCAGATTTAATCCATATTTTCAACCGATTAAACTCGGTTCTGTGCTGGTGACAAAAATATTTACACCTGTCTTAGTAATAAATCTGATCAGTTCGATGTTGGCAGCTGATACCAAAATTGACCTACATTCTTTTTGCTAACTGGGGCAAGAAATTACTTATAACGCCTAGAAAATGAAATTGCTATGTATCATCTGAGCAAAACCTATTTGACTTCCATCGGCATGACTAATGGTAACCTTCAAGATAGGGACTCATGTGCCTCCTCTAACTAAAAGTTTTGGCTGATATATGAAGTGTAAGGATTATATTGTAAATAAAACTAGATTTTCTACGAGGAAATTTAGTTCGCTGTGTCGTGAATCTAAACTAAATTACATATTTATAAATCGACTATTTAACAATGATTCTGACTGTGCTCTCGATATATATTTATAGATTCTTGATATAACCCAAAGAATCTGCAATGTTTCGGTCATGACCTGGCATTTCGTATTCAGTCTTAACTGCGCTGATCCTTTTCTATAAATACTTTCATGGTAATTGTTCGGATGAGCTTATCGACATTGTACCTAGAG